TCTCGTATTAAAAATATTTGTTTGAAATTCATGCGAGTTTACATACCTTTTCAGGGGAGGGCGCCATTCTTACAACTTATTAATGCTAGCTGTAGATTAAAACTCTCCGATGCTGCATATAAGACCGGTGTGTCTGCATTCGTGCACGGCTGAAGCCCCACTTTTGGAGTTGCCGACAGGAAGCACCTCTGCGACAACTGCAATTCCAGTAAAGCCAACGGTTGAAGCCCAGCTAAGCATTAAAAATTCGAGTCACATTAACTCAAAATTAAGCTTCTTTTCATAAAGTGTAATTCGTTTTTTATCTTATCCTGGAAAGACTGATTATGCATGATTCATATTAAGACTGAAATTATGCTGCCAATTTTTTCACCATCTCCACTAGTCGTCTGGACTACCCTTGGCTGCTCTCACAACTTGGAGATGTTTACAAGCAGATGTGATAGGCAGACGCCCCCTTCTGCCGCCTCCATCAGCTGCCGACACTTGATTCAGCACACCTTCAAACGCTTGGTCGGCCGCTTCAATGAAAGGGCAATCTCATCAACAAATCAAAACTCTCCGAAGGAGCATGTGGCAGTAAAATTTCGCTACCCAGAGCTCTGGGCAACACGTACGACACTCCACCTAACACAAAACACACATTTCCTTTTCTCACCCACCCTCTACCCCCGGCTCAGTTTAAACTACTAATTGTTGAGCTTACTTTTTTTGATGTTTTAGTGATCAGAGCATGTAAAAAGTTAAGCAGATACGTATATGGAAAGCCAACCTATGCTGGTTTTTTCCTTAATTTCTACTCTAACTATGGCTATAAAGTAAAGTTGAGCTTGATTCCATTTCGAGTGAAAGTGTTGAGTCAAGAGATTTGAAGGTCAGTTCCACCAGAAGACGACGGCGGATTCCTTTTGACCAGTTGTCGATTGGCTTTACTGGAAGATTCATGCTGACGCTGTTTCCGGTGAGAAGGTGCTAGGCTTTCGTCCGTCATATGACGAACATCATCAGAGCAATGTATCATTGTCACAACAAAATTCGAGCTAGCGAATCAAGAAACCTCACTGACAAATCCCTAAAAAGTGGTATATATACTCTACATCTGGCCTATTTGATCAGGTATAAAGTGATTTGGTTATTTAAGGTCATATGTGAGTCTTCTTGACTCGTTAGCTTGAATGTTGTTGTGACGATGGTACCTTTCTCTGATGATGCTCGTCGTGGGACGGACGAAATGTTTGTACCTTTTCGCCGGAATCGAAGGAGATTGCCTCGGAAACAGCGTCAGCATGAATGTTCTAGTAAAGCCAAT